GTAATTGACGTCAATGTTTATGTCCCCAATATTGGTGGTGAGAAAATGAGAACAAAGGCTTTGCGTAGGCGGATACAGTTAGCATATGGATGAGCTGACACAGCCAGCCACAAAGAGATGCAAGGTTAACTTTCTGTGAGAAACAACCAATCAAAAGACTGTATTTTCTACTAACAATAATCTACAATAATGTACATTAAAATCTATAAATATGTGTGTTGATTTTCCTTAATAAACGATCTGTTGCCTGGCCCTTGTCTTCTGTTGTTACAACACTAATGCTTATTTGATGATATTAGATAGTTGAAGGCAATCGGCTACAGGAAGCTTTGTCTAACCTAGGTTTCGTGTTAGTCGGCACTCATCAGTCAGTTAGCAAGGCGGCTTATCCACAACCTTGAAGAAACTCATGTATATCCCTTCTGAGATTCAAACCCGTGCCGCGTGCAGTCAGAGACGTTACCACTGAGCTATTCGGGATCGCGATTGACCTCCTGTAGGACTGTAGTGGGTATTTTGATTGGACACTAGTAACTAGTGTGTCTAGTCCTTTCTTTGGTGCTAGTCTGCTGGGTATAATATTCCTCAAGTTTTTATTGGTCATGACTAACACATAAATTATTGATATTTGACTGTATTTAAGTAAGTTAACATGTATCGGTGAACAGCATCGGTAGAACACTCTCGCCAACCACGCCTCATGTAGTCCGGACTTCAATCCCTGGCCATCAACAAACTCCTAAAACCTCGTTAATCTTAGTATTAAAGCCAGTAAAGAAGAAAGGATGGGTGGCATGAGGCTAGCAACTTCCCCCTGTGAAGATAAAACTACTGCTATCGAAACTTTGAAGTTCTAGCTTGAAGTCGCCCAATGTTCCACTCGGATGGTAAGGGAATAAAACAATAATAATAATTCGCGAAAATGAATGATGGCACAATCGAAAGATCTATATTTAGAAAGTCCTCATGGACAGGACAGGACAGTACATGCATTTCAAGAGTTTTGTTCCAATCCAGTATAAAAAGAACTCAGTCAGAACACTGTTCAATAGAGCACGAAAAATTTGTTCTGACAGTACTGTTGAGTATGAAATAAAATCCCTGAAGGATATCTTATCTAAGAATGGATATCCTGAGAAGTTCATTGATAAATACTCTAAAGAAAACACCCACTGCAAAACAATCCAAACAGTTCTGAAAAAATCTGTCTGTATCAGTTTGCCATTCAAAGGAGATGATGTACAGGAAGTAGTCAAACGAAGACTCGACAAAACCATCAAGAGAACTTATTATGCTGCAAAACTTGTTTTCCTTAACACCACTAAGCGAGTACTTCAACAATCTGGGAAAGACCAGTCGCCAATCCTCGACACTTCAAACTGCGTATATCAATTTGAGTGTGTTTGTGGAAGCAAATACATAGGTCGTATGGAAAGGAGATTGTCTACTCGCATGATGGAGCATTTGCCAAAATGGTTGAAAACAGCTGAGTTCAAAGTGCCAAAATCCTCAATAACAAAGCATCTTGAGGATTACGGGCATGATATCGACGCGGTCAAGTCATTCACCATTGTCAGCAGACAAAGAAACAAGAAGATGCTTGCAATTGCAGAGGCTTGTGCAATTCCAGTTTGTAAACCAGGTCTCTGTGTACAAAAGGAAATGGTCGTGACTCTGAATCTACCATGGTAATACGTTTTACTTATAATTCTACCTCGTATTATTATTATTACTATTATTATTCTCATTATTATTATTCTTGATTAATTGAAAACTATCCTTTATCAGTAGCATTATCTTAACTCACTTTAACACTATTGTTATTATTGTTATTATAACTAATACCGTTCACATCCCTCTGGTTGCAATTCTTGTTAAATTCTCTAATGTCTAATTGTTTATCTAAGTGATGTAATTGAAGCGTAATGCAATTTATCTTAATTTTGATCTCCCGTACTCTCTCTCCCCTTATCTAATTGAACATGACCTGGAAAAACATTCGCACCTGTCTTTCTGCATGACTAATTCAATGTAGTTTGTTTACTTATCAGTCCTATATACCCCAATGTAATTTCAAAAGTACACATATATTCGTGTATTTAGAGTATTCAGCTGATGAGTTCTACCGAAATTTGATGAATTCATTAAATCCTGCTTTATTAACCTTTATTGTTTGTTTTAAATAATAATAGATAAATAAATAAATAAATAAATAAATAACGTTATTTAACAGTGACAAGCAGTCAAGTTCAGGCTACATGTTTCATTATATTTTGGACTGGTCAAATGGATGCATGGATCTGTAGTCTCCAATAAGTGGAACACAGAGTGTCACCACTAAGACACACACACTCTCTCTTTCCAACTGGAAGCATCTATACTAGGAACGATCCATCACCAAAAAAGGTGTATCAGTCCAGTACAATAAAAAAAATCAAATAGAACTTCAAGGTAATATATGAGTGCTAAACAAGAAGACTATTTACAGTTGTTGTCTGTCTGTCTTTTCAACAACACAGTGTACACAACTGTTACATTGACAAATAAATGCTGACTCTTATTTCATAATTACGTGCACACACCTTTGTGTGTTTTCAAACAGTATGGACTAACATGGATGCAGGTGAAAAGTACAGCAGAAGACAGAAGCAAGTGGAGGCGTCCAGTTGAAGCCGTATGTTCCACTAGGAACCCGAGGGAACAATAATAATTATCATTATTATTAATATTATGTTATTCACTTGGAAACTTTTCTGAGTTGGTTGGTTGGTTGGAAACTAAAGAAAACTCTGGTGACTTTTCATATCTTCAACCTGTATGATTTATAAATTGTGTATTTGCAGTCTTTGGTTTCTCAGTTTGTCAACTCTTGTATCCTAACCATCCCTCTTTACTGCTACCCATCAATCTTTCCTGGACTACTTAAGAAAGATTTTGCTTTCCTTAGGAGGGCACTAAAAGCTGTTAGTAGGGCAAGTGGGATGTCGTTAAACCAACTGGTTAACACTCTTGTGGATAGACATGTAATGTCATGTAAGAAACTAGCAAATTCTATATTGTCAGACCCCGAACACCCTCTCTTTACGCAGCTCTCTCCTTGCATTTCATCTGGTAGAACTAGAAGCAACTATAGGAGGCTACATGCCAGGACTACCAAGTACAAATACTCCACAATACCTTATCTGGCACAGCTGTTATGTGATGAGAAAACTGTTAGGTATGACACGATCAACTTACTGCGGCACTCTAACAAGTAGTTCCCATTAGCTTTTGTTCTCCTTTCTTTGTTGCTATTATATTGTTGCTCACATATTCTATTACCCACTAATTTTATATTTCATATCCTGTGGTGCATTGTTTAAAATGTCAATGCAATGGTTTTCTTTTTTATTTCTTTTATTTCTCTCTTTTTTCTTTTTGTTGTTGTTGCTTTTTATTTTAAAATCTTATAAAAATTTATGAGGTAATTAGATGCAATATTGTAATGCACGCTGAAAATTGCATACCTGTACCACAAATACTGTTTGGAATAAAGCTATTATTATTATTATTTAATTCCATACAGTCATAATTTATTCAAACAGGTGGCCGGAATTTAGGCGGTTTGAATCAGTTAGAATCTCTGAGCTCAGTCAAACAGTTAAACAGATGACTACAGTCCTGAAAAAGGAGAAACGATCGTCCGGTGTGGTTCAGATCACTTCTGGTTGATATGGGTGGTTTCCAACTACTCATACCGATTAATCAGTAGTATATGTATATACCGTCAAGAATTTCTGTCTACTAAACTGTTAATTAATCGAAGTTAATAGTAAGTAAAACTGAGAACTACAGATCATTGGCTTATTGGCTTTCTGTCCGTCTGTCTGTTTTCAACATAGAACTTTGCACCGATGGGCAGAAGTTCAAGTCGTCACACTCCCTCAATGTAGCACACAAAGCAAGAGAAGAAAGTAGAAGTGCATAATAGAGACAGTAAACCGGGATATGAGACCAAAGGAATTGTAATAACGAAGAACAATATATTTTCATTGGAAATTATAAGTTTCAAGGAGTGGATGCATCTGAGCCAGCCATTGACAACGAGGACTTTGAGCCATATCACTAATTGTCTCCATCCATTGGTTTTTACCGTTTCGAAGACCCGAAACAGTCAGGAAGTCTACACCTTCCTACGTGGCTGGCTGGCTTAAACTAACTGTTGTGGATTTCATTGACTGATGAAGCCATGTTTTGGTTTGACCACCACGTGTTAGCTCTTTTCCAGCCTGACTCTATGTCAGCTAACATTGCCTGTTGTCGAGGAAGGCGATGACTAGGTATCCACGCCTAACACATTTCCTAACCATCTCAGTCGATGTAGCTTCACAGCCTTGTCGATTGATTTTCCCTCCTTACCTAGCACTCACTCGACTGATGCATAACCTCAATATTACTCACCCTACTGTACCACTTTACAGGGGAGATAGAACGCAAGCACCTATGATGAAAGACAGTTAGCCAGACTTTTCATGTCTCCCACTCTCAATGACCAGGTCTCGCCCACAGCCATATAGGAGGACGGAGCGGACTGCTGAGCAGTACACCCGCCCTTTGGTCGATATCCGGGTATTGGCTTTAAACACTTGACTTCCAGCTATTGGGTTCGGAGATCAAATTTCGCTCTACCTAATAATTCAGCCTGGGCAATTCGGTAGCAGTATCATCATTAGCCCTCACTCACACACACACACACAAGTATGACTTACATCCCGGTACCTAGTGATTGAGTTCTGATTAACTAACTCACTTAATATGTAATCGAAATGTTCCAGTTTTGTCAAAACTGCTAGCCCCTAACTTGAAGCCCTATGATCGATTGGGAACGTAAAGGAGTAACCCCCCCCCGCACCAACAAGAGTGTACAGCGTTTACACTAAATGTTGACAATTTGCCAGCAAAGTTGTACTGTTACTGAAAAGTGTTTCCTTTAGATGACCAGCACGTCAGCAAAAAGAAAGTTACCCTGTGTGACTTTCTGTAGCTGGTGGCTATAGTGTTTTCTATACCGTCAAACAACTCCAAAAACATCAATCCATATAAATATATGTCAGAGAGAACAAAACAACTTACTTCGTCTTGCAGGAGATTAGCTCGAGAGGTGAAGTAAATGGCCTCCTCAGTAGCTAAAGCGATCCGTTGAATCATCGAATTGCGTAAGTTAGTCATCGCATCACAACTACCAGTTGATTGTTCGCATTCATTTATATCTGAACATGAATTATTATTAACGCTATTGTTGGCATTTTTATCTTCATCACTCGCTGCTAAATGCTGCAAAAAATAATAAGAGGGCGAGAGAAATAAAGTTAATAAAAAATTCTATTGAAAAAAAACTTTCTTTGATCACAACAGTGATATCCGAGTGTCTATCAGACAAACAAAAAAGTAGTTCAGCGAAGAGTCTCTTTTCGGCGAATTCATTCACTTAGCTGTACAGTCGCAAATATATATACAATTATTTTGTGTGTGTGTGTGTGTACATTAGGTTTGTCAAAGTCAAAATCAAAATAACAGTTAGTGTGGGTTGTTGATTACGTCATCAAAATGACTAAGAAATTAAAATGTGTGATTAATAATCAAAGTTGTAACTAAGTGGGGTGAAGATTGGTAAGATATGAGTAGGGTTACGTAATATAGACATGTTTAGAAAGATTAGATGTTAGTGAAGGAGTATGGAGACAATTATGAAAATAAACTAGATAATAGGTGAAAAGATTGAATGGGTTAGTTACTAAAAATTATTATACGAAAATTGCAAAATAATTTGATAACAAAATGTTGATGACAGATAAACTTGAAATAAACATCCTATAGACAAGCATATTAAGCCTAAGACTTACAAAGAACAACCCATTACAGTGCAGAAGAAGATGGTCTACATGAATGTATCCTTCAAAGGTGACCTTCTGGCTGACACCTTGAAGAAGAGGATATCTACTGCTCTCAGAAGGACATTCTTTGCTGCCACACTACGACTGACATTTTCCTCCCGGCCATTGTTCTTCAACTACTCTAAAGATAAACTATCGCATTTGACCACTTCCATGTGTATCTACCAATTCACCTGCTCTTGCGGAGCGAGGTATATAGGTCGTTCGATGCGAGTTTTATCTAAAAGAGTTCAAGAACACTATCCCGCCTGGCTACGGAAAGGTAACAACGGAGCAATAAGGAGCGCCATTATTGAGCATATACTCAACACTGGTCATTCGATTTGCAAAGAGAAGTCGTTCAAAGTCATCTATAAAGTCAAAAGAAGCCTTCCAAAATCGACAAGCTTCCGTATACTTTGTATTGCCGAAGCCTTAGCGATTTGGATAGAAAAGCCTGATTTATGCACACAGAAGAAACTTCTCCACCCCCTCCTACTACCGTGGGTTTAATTTCAAGTTTATCTGTCATCAACATTTTGTTATCAAATTTTTGCAATTTTCGTATAATAATTTTTAGTAACTAACCCATTCAATCTTTTCACCTATTATCTAGTTTATTTTCATAATTGTCTCCATACTCCTTCACTAACATCTAATCTTTCTAAACATGTCTATATTACGTAACCCTACTCACATCTTACCAATCTTCACCCCACTTAGTTACAACTTTGATTATTAATCACACATTTTAATTTCTTAGTCATTTTGATGACGTAATCAACAACCCACACTAACTGTTATTTTGACTTTGACAAACCTAATGTACACACACACACACACACAAATAATTGTATATATATTTGCGACTGTACAGCTAAGTGAATGAATTCGCCGAAAAGAGACTCTTCGCTGAACTAATTTGTTCTTATTTCAATGTCTTAATGGGTATTTTTCGCGAAGCAAAAAAGTATCTATTGTTGTTATGGTATGACTGAGCATAAATATGACGGCCAAGTTAAACTTTAAGCACCACTAACTACCACCAACGGAGTGCGACCGCACCAGTGACCTTGAAACACTCACTGAGCTAATTAGTGAAACCTGGCAAATAATGTTGTCACTTATCAATAAAATATGCTCATCAAAGTGTTATGCTGTGAAATGGGATATCTGGCAGTTTCAGCTTAGGTTTGAGAAAGATTAAGTTACGCTTTAGGCCAAGGACAAGTTAGGGTTAGGTTAATCTAATGAAGGCGACATTAAGATTGTTACGAGTTAGATTACAGTTAGTTTAGGAATATATTCACGTTAGGGTAAGGTTCAGGAAAGATTACGGTTATTGTTAGGGTTAGAAGACCTAAATAATTACATGCATAGAATGTGGTTAAATTACTCTGTTGATATAAAAATAGAACATCTGCACTGTGGTAGGGTATAATTCCATTGTGGGTAAAATTTATTTTGATAAATTCTCACAGTGTTATACAGTAATATTTACTGATGAGCACGTTTCGAGCACAATTTATTGCTCAGTAACTATTACTGTATAACACTATGAAACTTTATCAAAACAAATTTCACCTACATGGAATTATACTCTGTTGATACTCAAACCTAAAACTGAGAGCTATTTCTATCACATGTGAGAGGAAGGTATCCTCTGTAACACTTTTCTACAGTGTTTATGCAATTTTTTCCATAAATATATGTATTCCATACACAAAATGCCTCCTTCACGTGATTGGTACTTTCTAGGTCCTTCGCTGATTGGCAGTTAGTTGTGCTTAAAGTTTAATTTTCCCGCTAAATTTCTCTGACATGTGAAGAGTAAATTTAGAAGACCCAAACGCTGACGAAGGATACGTATATTATTATTCCAACAAGGGGAATTAACTGTGACACAAAAGTGTGAATGAAAAATTGTCAAAATAACTAAAATGTATGAACCAATAAGATAAAGATAAAGTAGTTGTTTTTTTTAACTACCAACTGAGTTCTGATTGGCTGCAATGTCATGTGTGACAAACGTCATTCATTGTTATTTAGTTCATAGACAGACAAGATAGACGACTGTAAGTCATCATTGACTAATGATCAATAGACACACATATGGTGAACCATAATCAGATTGGCAAACAAACAAGGTAGGTATCCTCATGCATTTATTCTCCTGAATGAATTTTGAATAAAGCAAGAACAACAACAGTGGTGGTTTGTGCAGAATAATATGGTACCATCATTCACTTCGTGAGCTTCTCATCAGCTGCTTACAGCCTGAATAAATTATGAGGTATTTGCAAGTATGTTAGAACTTTTCTGTACATAAACCTCATAATCTATTCAGGCTGTAAGCAGCAGTTGATGAGAAGCCCATGAAGTGAATGATGGTACCATATTATTCTGCACAAACCACCACTGTTGTTCTTGTTTTATTCAAGAACAAGTATCAGATTGTGGTGAGAGCTGGCTGCTAGCCAAAGTTGGTAGACAGTAAGTAATTGACGTCAATGTTTATGTCCCCAATATTGGTGGTGAGAAAATGAGAACAAAGGCTTTGCGTAGGCGGATACAGTTAGCATATGGATGATCTGACACAGCCAAAAAGAGATGCAAGGTTAACTTTCTGTGAGAAACAACCAATCAAAAGACTGTATTTTCTACTAACAATAATCTACAATAATGTACATTGAAATCTATAAATATGTGTTGATTTTCCTTAATAAGCGATCTGTTGCCTGGCCCTTGTCTTCTGTTGTTACAATATGACTACATATTAGGTGTCCAGCTGTTCCTTTTGCCCTTCTCTTTATAGCTGTGAAAGACATGACCAGTGATGAAAGTGAAAGATATGGTGAAAAGACTAGCCGCCGTTGACCACAGATGTTTGACTTCTGTCTCCCGTGTTAAGCGGATGCCCGGCACTCTTCACCGGGTTGACTGTCCATTGGACGACAGTCTAGGGGAGATGGCTAAACCCTGATTCCAAACCTCCAACGACTGGCGTATGAAGCTCACTGGAGCTCACCGGCACACGTATGGACAAAGGGCTTGTTGGATGTCCTGGATGTCTGGCCCCATTCAAAAAGGCGTATGAACCGAACTCCGGTCACCGGCTGCCAATGGATAGTGGACTCCCTACTCCACTCCTACTGCCTTGTAGGTCACACTTGGTTGTGTAAAGGCTAGAGCTGCACTCTCAAACAAAAGGCCGAGCGATTCTGGGGACATCACTCGTACCAAATTCCCATGAAACTTCATGAACTCTCTTACAACATCAACCAAATTCCAGTACTGGTCCAACAACGTCGCCTTCGGTGGTTTGGCCATGTTCTGCGCCGACCAGATGACGATCTGGTCAAATCAGTTCTAAATCCCTCACCATTACCATCTTGGTGATGTCGCAGGGGTGGACAGCTGAAAACATGGCTTGGTACAGTCAAGGCTGATATGGAGTGCCTGGGGCTACAAACCGTCTACGGACTCCGTCTGTGGAACAAGAATTGGATAACCCTGTCGCAAAACCTTGCATCAGATCGCCGCGCCTGGGCAGCGATGATTCGAGATGTTCATGAAGCCGGCTCATCCTCCCGTAGGAGATAGCCGAAGTAAAGTAAAGTAAGTCCCGTGTTAATTGGTGAGTGGTACTGAGATTAGATGAAGAATGCTAGGGGTAAGAGAGGCGGTAGTCAATCGATGAGGTTTTGAAGCTACATCAATTGCAGTGGTTAGGACACCACCTGCTGAGCATTCACCAGACATCATAGCTGAGACTTAATCAGTCAGTCATCAGTTTTGCTTATTCTTGAAATAAGTTTATTTGGTAAGCAAAGACAGGCTGAAACAAGAGTCGGGCAATTCAGATATTGCCCTGCCCTGCCCCGCCCTGAGATCTAAGATTTATTATAATGTGATTGGATAGCTAAATGCCCAACCAATCAAATAAGTTATTTAAAACTGGTTTAACTTTTCCGGAGTATAGTGTTTGACAGTGTTTGCTCTTAATATGTTTGTGTCTTATAAGGGAAAATATTTCACCTCGGCTGGAAACAATCTGTTTTTTTGTTTTTTTTTATCCTAAACTTAGGCGGAAGAGTATTTGATATTCGGTCATTAGTAGAGTTCTTATCATATTTCGGTATGGAACCTATATTGTAGATTATTATTTGCTAGGGCCATCATTCAGATATTGCGGAATGAAGGTACGTCCAGTTGACGAGTTCAGAATAGGACGAAATTCAGATTCTGTGTGTCACTGCTAGTTATGATTTCATACAAGCAGTGAACCCAACACTACTATCATGTTCGAAGACTAGCCAATTGTGACTGTTATTCAGCCACTGGAGTTGGAATTCCTCCCTCAGCATTTGAATTCTAACTTTTGTCAATTGACAGTGAAGAGCCCTACGACTACACACCACCAGTGACGTCGATGCATGAGCAACGAAGAATCCTATAAAAGATTATTAAAGTAATACTATAAGTTTATAGACAACTTCATCGACAGGAGACAAATTTAACTCCACTTCAATATGCCTACAGAAATTCACACTAACTCATATTGTGGTGAAAGCTGGCTGCTAGCCAAAATTGGTAGACAGTAATTTACGTCAATGTTTACGTCCCCAATATTGGTGGTCGTGAGAAAAATAAGAACAAAGACTGATTCAACAACCAACCACAGCAGACTTTGCGTAGGCGGAGACAATTTGCAGATAGATAATCTGAACTTCAATCACCGGCCACAAAGAGATGAAAGATTAACGTTCAGCGAGAAACCACCAATCAAAAGACTGTGTTTGTTTACTTACAATAATCTATAATAATGTATATGAAAATATATAAATATGCGTTGATTTCCTAAATAAACGATCTGTTGCCTGGCCCTTGTCTACTGTTGTTACAATATGATCATTCTTTTTGAATGACTAACTGTAAGTTTTAATATAGAAAAATTTGCACAGAAGTGCAGCAGTTCAAATTGCTATACTCCATGCAGCTAGCATACAAATTTAGACACAAGAGAGAAAAACAGGGATTCAAAAGGACATTCATAAGGAACCATTGGTTCTTAGCATTCCAAGGACCCCAAACAAGCAGTCTACATCTTCATAGGTGGCTGCCTCAAGCCAAATGTCAACAACTTCATGAACTAATGACAGGTTTCAGTCTGATCATGCCTAACTCTTTATCAACCCCAATTCTAAATCGACTAAAACCGTCCACCGAGAAATGCGATGGCTCGGAATATGCGACACGTGTCCTAGTCATCTCATTCGTTAATTCGTTCATCTACACAATCTCATCGATTGACTTCCCTGCCTCACCCCGGCCGACAACTGCTACCTTGCCGTGGTGGTCAGGCTTGAATGCCACAGTGACCCAACAAGCTAAACTGGCTGGGACTCATGTCCCTGCAGGTCCTACCATGTCAGGAAGGTTGTCTGGATAGCGGTTAGACTAAAAGCAGTTACCATGGGGTACATGGGCTCCAGAATTCAATCGGATCAAATGGCGTATGAAGCCACATGGGTCACCGGCAACCATGGGAACGCAGCTCCTGACGCTGCTCCGCTGCCTTGCGGATTAGACTCCAAGTCAAAGGCTCCGGGGGTGGTCCCTTAATAAAACCACCTGCTTCGGTCTGGGCGCCCGGGCAGTATCTCAGCCCTCACACAAGTGTGGCGCATCTTTCTTGGTGCCATATTGTACCAAGTTTTTTTCTGCGTTTAAATAAAAATAATCCCTGCCTCACCTATTACTCTGCACTCCTAACTTGAGTATTCTTCACCATATTATACCACTTAACACCGGAGATGAAACACAAACATCTCTGGTCGAATTACAGTTAGCCTGTTGTTTCAATCTTCCACTATCGACGGTTGTATTTCACAGCCAGTCCCGCAACACTTGAGAGCAACTAGGAGCCAATTACTTACAAAGCAGGTCATGATTCCACTACAATCACCAACTGTCATATCCAGTAAATGACACATTTCTATCTCCTATCAGCGACCCTCTCCGACACCACAACCACCACCAGCAGCAGCGGCTACCCACCCATTAGTACGATCTTCTCCAGTCAATCCTAATCAGACTTAATTTGAAGAAGTCGAGCAGGCAGTCTTCGGTTGACAGACTACAATTTCGACGTAGTAGGTGGCTGGCTAATGTTTGAAGATGACATGAAAATCCAATTCTCGACATCAGGATCTATCTAATTCCCACTCGCGTACATTACAATCAATTCGAGATGACTTTTCTCACAACAATAAACAAGGATACAAAGAGGGACTGTTGTATTTCCCCTCACTTGTGTTCTGAGCCATGTCTTCTTAAGTATCAATAATAATAAGCACTAATCAATTACAACTCACTGCTTATCATTCTATAATACATATATTTCTCTCGTGACTGCTTTTTTTCCGGAACAGAAATATCTTCGACCTCGATCGATTGATATACCATCGCCTACTACTCTACAAGCACATCAGATGACATTTTTAGTTGATACTGTCGGCGGGGGGCGGGGAGGTGGGTAGTCTTAGAATCCAGTAAGAACACTATCCATTACTTAATCACTGAATAGACAGACAGGGAGGGGCATGCAACTGATGAGTTCCAGAGAAGGATGAAACACATACACAAACACACACACACAATATTTACAAATATAACTTACCTGTTGTTCTTTTAATCGACGTTTACGTTCCATTTGATATTTTAATGATATTTCACATAATTGACTCTCTAATTGTCCAATACGATTGGTTAGGATTTTATTGATTTTTTCTTTATCGATTATTAATAAATTTTTATTGATTTGTAGTGAATTCATCCAATTATTTAATAGATTAATAAATTGTTCAATTAAACTGTTGTCATTATTGCCTTGATGAACTGATGTAGGAAGAGTAGACGATGATGGTGATAAGGTGGTGGGCGGGGAGGAGACTAACGGCATAGAAGAGGAATTACTACAGGGAAAAGATGATGGTATGTGTGATGTGGAGATAGAAGACGCTGGATGGTCAGCAGCAGAAGCAGAAGCAGCAGCAGTGGTAGTATTAGACTCACTCTGAAGGTGTTTAACAGACTGACAGATATGTTCATTATTCATAGAAGATGTGGAAACCACGTTTAGAGAGTTCTGGTTAACATCAACTTCATTGTTATCTATTGTATTGTGTCGTTCAAGTGACAGGGGATCTTGTTGTTCAGTGTTAGCGGTTACTTGATTTTCTGTCTAGAAAAAGAAGTAATATAAAATTGGATGAAAGAATAAAAAACAAAATACTGAGCTATTTGAGGGTCAATAGTTCTCATTTAGTAGAATGATGCTCACTAACCATAGATGCTTTTATTTTTATTTATTTATTTATTTAAAACACCAACAAGATGCGCCAGACACTCTGACTGTCTGTCTGTCTGGATTCAACATAGAACTTGGCACCGAAGTGCAGCAGTTCCAGTTGCCACGTTCCAAATACCACACACAAAGGTAGACAAGAAAATGAGAGTGAAGAGAATCAATTGAGTTTTGACAAGTATAAGAGTGAGTGAAACAGAATGAGTAATGGTAGAAAGGAATATGAAAGATTACCCAAGAGACTGAATACATCTGCGCTAGCCATTGACAACGATTTTCAGCCATGTCACCTATTGTCTCCAGCCATTCTTAGAGTCTTAGAGTCCCGAGGGCGGGCCCCAACCCGGAAGTCTGCATCTCCCTCCCTACCTGACTCAGTTTAACTGTCAAGGATTTCATGGATTGATGAGGCCATGTGTTTGTTTGGCCACCACTTACTCTTTTCCAACCTGCACCTATATATCAGCTAGTAATGCCCGTCGGGGTGGGGGAGGCGATGGTTAGGCATGCGCAGCACGTGACCTAGCCATCTCAATCTATGTAACTTTATAGCCTCGTCGATTGATTTTCCCTCTTTGCCCAACCACACTCTACGCCTGACGTCAACATTACTTACCTTATTATACCACCTAACGTGAGAAAGAGATCGTAGACATCTATGATCAAAAACAGTCAACCTTTTCATGTCTTCAACTCGTATTGGCCATGTTTCAGAGCCATAGAGAAGGATGGAGCGAACTGCTGAGCAGTATGCACGTCCCTTGGTTGATAGCCGGATGTCACGCTACGTCAGAGATGATGTAAGTTAGCGAAAGCAACTTGAGCTCTTTGGATCCGTGCTGAGATTTCGTCGCCAATCAGTCCGTTGGTGCTGATATAACTTCCTAAATAGGTGAAGTGGTCAACATGTTCTATCACTTCTATCACTCCCTATCACTAAGCTAGGAGTTGACGTAGTCCAGCTGGATCAACTGATCAATGGTACTTTACTATACTACTAAATTCAGTAGATAGAATCAAGACTAAGCCTACTGAGTGAAAGTTGAATGCATAGATCAATGCGTCACAGCCTTTAATAGATAATAAAAGACATACTAAAATGGTTGAATTAGAAACTCCAACATTCAATTCTCGAAAAGATCCCGCACCTGATCACTTCTGTGTGTATGTATGTATCAGTTCACCTGTTGCTGTGGAGCCAGCCAGCTACATTGGTCGTTCGACGCGCATCCTGTCAAAAAGGGTCAAAGAACACTATCCAGCATGGCTGCAGAAAGGAAGTAGTGGCCGTATATAAGGAGTGCAATAATCAAACATCTCATCATCACTGGTCAATATTCCATCTCAACAACAAACGCCTCCTTCTTCAAAGTAATCTACAGTGTGAAGAACAACCTGCCATAGACAATACGTTTCCGTCTTCTTTTTTGCATTGCAGAAGCCCTAGCCATTCAGTTAGAAGAACCAAAGCTATGCATACAAAAAAAGAAATTAGTCAACCACTTTTACTATCATGGTTACAATTCTGCTGATTTGACTTAACTTTTGTTTGTATGCTTATTTTTCTAACTATTTTAAAAACTCTTGCGTAATTCCGTAGGTTATTTTGTTTCCATGTACACTCTTAGCTCAACGTAACTCTTCTTTAACAATCGTTTGTGACAATTCCTCACTTTTGTTGCTACCCTCTTATATCAACATCAACTTACTAATTGTATTTTCGTTTGTCAAATTTAATGTACACACATACATACAAAACAACCATAGACATATTTGCGATTGTACAGCTATAAAAAATGAATTCGCCGTCGAAAAGAAACTCTTCGCTGAACTAATGGTCTTCTGTCTTTTAACATTCCATATTAATTGATGTTCGACGATTTTCAGGGAGTATATCTTTCCTGGGTTAGTTTAGTACATGTCAGCTGGCTATATATTGTATCTTGTTGAGTTAATAAACTTGGAAAGTGTTTTTTTTAGATCTGTTATGATCTGTCTATCGTTGTAATCCCATCAAACCGATCGAAATACACGCATTCTAGCTGTCATTGTCAGACAGTGTGAAACTAATAACAACGATACGACATCGATAAACGAAATAAAAACATACTTTGAGAAGGCCTTCGACAGCGTTGACCGCGAAGTAATTCGGAAACTACTCAAGTACTATGGCGTACACCAAATATTCATCAACCTTATTCAACAGCTGTACGACAACGTTACTTGTCAAGTGATCCACTACGGAAAACTCAGCGAGGCGTTTGGAGTAAACACAGGAGTCAGACAAGGGTGCTTATTATCACTAACGATATTCCTAATTGTGGTGGACTGGATTATGCGTCAGACAGTGGGAAACGAGAAGACAGGGATATCCTGGAAAGACGTGAAGAACCAAGAAGACCTGGATTTCGCGAGTGGATGATTTATGTTTGATGTCACACAAAAGCGAAGACTTACAAGCGAAAACCGACAAACTGGCTGAAGAGGGTAGCAGCAAAGACAGGACTCCAGGTGAACATAGACAAGACGGAGGTTATGAAAATAACCAACCAACAACAACAACAGCAGCAACATCCAGCGCCAATCACCATCAACGGGAGGGATTCGGAAGAGGTTACTTCATTCACTTATCTAGGGAGCATTGTCTCAACTACAGGCAGGTGGAACGGACGAGGATGTCAAATCGAGAATCGGGAAGGCGAGAAACACATTCATCAACCTGAAACCAATCTGGAAATCTTTGTCACTCACTCAGCCTGCATCAACAACAAAATGATTCGGATTTTCAATACAAACGTCAAGTCAGTCACTTCTTCTATACGGATCGGAAACTTGGTGGGTCACAAAGAATATTTCCAACAGCCTGTTGCAGACCTTTATCAACAACTGTCTTCGCTATATACTCAAGATCAGATGGCTCGAAAGAATAACTAACAAGAAACTATGGGAACAAACAAAACAAGAACCAATCGCCCAACAAATATGCAGGAGAAAGAAGTGGAGATGGATTGGACACTCGATAAGGTGGCCGCTGAGTGACATCGCGCGTCAGGCTATCGCTCGAGTGGAACCCGAAAGGGAAGTGGCGAGTGGGACGTCCACGGGTAAAATGAAGGAGATCGAGTGAAGAGGAGTTGAAACAGTATGGACTAACATGGATGCAGGTGAAAAGTACAGCAGAAGACAGAAACAAATGGGGACGTGTAGTTGAAGCCCTTAGTTCCACTAGGAACCCAAGGAAACAATAATAATAATAAGAATACTCACCCCAGGACTACTTTGCGAATTCCATTTGTTGATTACGCTCATCTCATCAGATGTAGAAACTGGGACAGTGATTGTAGTAGCAGCATTAAGCGTAGAGCTAACTGTACCAACAAATGATTCTGTTTGTACGCCAACATCTGTACAAACTGCTTTTGTACTACAGGATGTTGAAGTATTTCGAGGAATTTCATCAGGATTCACCTAATAGTAATAATAATAATAATAATAACTGTTAAAACAACGTGAATTATCAAAAAATAATAAAATTAAAACAAGAAATAACAGTGAACACACATATTTTTCATTTACTTCAGTTTTTTGTATTTCCCGCTGATCGATTACATTGGACATGTTGACATGTCGGCTGCTAATACGGATGCTTCGACGATGTTTAAGGATTAACACCGATGTTGTTTTGTAGATGGTCACTAACGCAGTAGAATCCAGGATGTACATTTCGTCTTATTTGGGACTCATTATGGATAACGGTTTGGAGTTCGAGACGATGTGTGCTGGGTTCGAGTTTCATTGAGAACAACACTCAGTGAGAATGCATGTACATCCAGATGACGAGACCCATACAGGATGAAATGCACATCCTGGATTCTACACTGCTAGTCACCTACCATCCATCAAATAACAGTATTGTTTTCAATGACACTTATGGAGAAAGGTGTATGACACGAACAGTCAGCCACTATTGGTTAATGAGAGAGCACATTGTATTTCTCACATTTCTTGACCTAAAGGCGGTATTCGATTCCATCGACCAAGAGGTAATATGGCGATGCTTGGATGTAAAGGGAGTACCGAGAAAATACATTGCACTAATCAAAGCACTCTACTCGTACTCATGCAGCCAGTTGAGGGCTTATAGCGAGTTTTCATCTGAAGTGGTGACAACCGGTGGTGTGGGTCAGGGATGCTCACTATCCCCATTTCTATTCAATTTCATCATAGATGTACTGATGGAATTAACCCTAAGTGACTTCAGTGACTCAGGGATTGACTTGTTACCAGGGTATAATCTCGCTGACTTAGAATATGCAGATGATATATGTGAAGACGCTGACAAAATGCAGAGTCTTCTGAACAACTTGAAGTGTAATCTACGAATGTTTGGTATGCGATTCGCTCCCGCCAAATGTAAGATGATGTTGCAGGACTGAACTACACTGACTCCTAGTTTAGAAATGGGGAGTGAAGTGGAAGATCACGTTGAGCGCTTCGCTTATTTGGGAAGTTGCATCAGCCAGTGCCAACGGGTTGATCTCTGACGAAATCTCAGCACGGATACGGAGGGCTAGTTTCGCATATGCCAGTTTACGCTATCTCTGGCGTAAACGTGATATCCGGCCGGCTGTCGACCAAAGGACGTGTGTACTGCTCCGCAGTCAGTTCGCTCCGTCCTCCTTTAGAGCTGTGAGTGAGACCTGGCCATTGAGAGTGGAAGACATGAAAGACCTGGCTAGCTATCTTCGATCATAGGTGCCTGCGTTCTGTCTCCCAATTGAAGTGGTATAATAGGGTAAGCAATATTGAGGTTAGGCGTCGAGTGCTAGGTAGGTGATAGAGGAAATCAATAGACGAGACTGTGAAGCTACATGGGTTGAGATGGTTAGGATATGTGCTACGTATGCCTAGTCATCGGCTTCCTCGACGGGCAGTGTTAGCTGATATAGGGTCAGGCTGGAAAAGAGCTAGCGGCGGTCAAACGAAAACATGGCACCAGTCAATGAAATCTACAACAGTTAGTCTAAACCACGTAGGAAGTTACAGACTTCCTGGTTGGGGTCCTCAGGACGGCAAAAACCAGTGGTTGGAAACAATTGGTGACATGGCTCAAAATCGTTCTCAATGGCTAGTGCAGATGCATCCACTCCTTGTGACTTATGATTTCCAATTAAACTGTTTTGTTCTTCGTTATTACTATTCCTTTGTCTCACACCTCTGTTTACTGTCTCTATTATGCATTTCTTCTTTTGCATTGTGTGCTACAAGGAGGGAGAGTGGCGACTTGAGCTTCTGCACATCGGTGCAAAGGTCCATGTCGAAAGCAGACAGACAGACTCATCGTGTCAATGAATCAGTATATATATATATATATATATATATATATATATATATAAAGTCGTCATGCACTTATACTTGGTTACTTGATCACCATTTCAGGTATCAAGCAGATTATATATTGTGATATGAAAATAATCATTTCATACATTTGGTTCCCTTGATAAACATTTTCATCAAAGAAAGGAAGACGAAATTTGCAGTATAAAATGTGATATCATCATCATTCTATTTCACAGGTTCTCATCAGCTGCACACCCCTGCCTGAAATTACAATGGTTATGTAGATGATAATAACATACTTTAATGTTTGAGTGGTAGTAGAGAAGAAATACTATAAAATTGACCCATCCAAAATGAAAGCATTACAATTTTTAGTTTAAGATTTCATCATCAATTTATACGCTTTACAAAGTAGAAGAGAGGGGGAGGGGTAAGACAGAAAACAGAGAAAATTGATTAACACAACAGTGTTAGCTTGTAGGTTCACATAGCAACTCCAAAAACCAAGAGCGGTTACAGTTTATGATATTAAGATTTGTTCAGTGAGTTGAGATCACTGAATTAGATGATTAATGTAATTAATATCATTAAAATCAAAATTCAGTTACCAAGGGAGTGAGAGGTTAATCGCACTCTCTTTCTGTATGCATAAGTCTGGTTTAAATCCGGTTTTCTGAACATATTTTTCAAAAAACCTGTGCCTGAAAGGAAGCAAATATTCTCAGAGTGCGATTACCAGGCATCTTGTTGATACCGGATATCTCGTAGAGATTTCTAAGTCACTCAAAATATTAAATAGACAAAGGACAGCAAATTTACTACGATTTGCCAAAGCGATCGCAATCAAACGATTCAAACCAACCAGACTTATGCATACAGAAAGAAAGTGTGATTAACCTCTCAATCCCTTGGTAACTGAATTTTGATTTTAATGATATTAATTACATTAATCATCTAATTCAGTGATCTCAACTCACTGAACAAATCTTAATATTATAAACTGTAACCGCTCTTGGTTTTTGGAGTTGCTATGTGAACCTACAAGCTAACACTGTTGTGTTAATCAATTTTCTCTGTTTTCTGTCTTACCCCTCCCCCTCTCTTCTATTTTGTAAAGCGTATAAATTGATGATGAAAACTTAAACTAAAAATTGTAATGCTTTCATTCTTTTTTGGATGCGTCAATTTTTTTAGTATCTCTTCCCTACTACCACTCAAACATTAAAGTATGTTATTATCATCTATATAACCATTGTAATTTCAGGCAGGGGTGTGCAGCTGATGAGAACCTGTGAAATAGAATGATGATGATATCACATTTTATACTGCAAATTTCGTCTTCCTTTCTTTATCGAAATAATCATTTCAATTTCTAAAGAAGGAAACGATGGTGACATTTCACCTCGTAGAACTAACTGTGTGTGTAAATTGGAAACCATGGATAATATAATCAGCGAAATGGCAGATTTCCTAGAACCAGTAAGCAGTTTGGCAGACACATTTTTAGAAACTATCCTTTACGGTTCAAAAAACAAAAATTAAAGAAGATCTGGTTATTTGTTTTGTTTATATGGATAGATAGATAGTGGTCAACCACGAGTGGATAGAAAAAAGTGCTTTCATTCTTAGTTCTACTTGAACACCTTCCGAGGGGAATTTGAAAAACTCCATGGTCGAATATACATATATATATATATATCCAGGTTTGATTCCTAGAGATGCATTTTCTCCACACCTTACCAAGTTTACTTGCCGATAGTAATTTCGAATAAAAAGGAAGCTGAAGTGGGGTGTGGTGTGGTGTGGTGTGGTGGGGTGTAAGGCTGGCAAAAGTCTTATGAGTTTAAATATTCCACCTGGAATACAAAGCAATGAAAATAACACAGAGACAAAAGTATCTATCCAATTCATTTTTAAAATATCGCATAACTTTTGTAATGCTTATATTATCTCATTATTTCAATAGTAATTGACTACAGAATAAAGTTGTGTGTCAAGAAGTTCTTCGTGAGAATTCATGACTAATCGGGTCCATCCATCAAGCACAAGATGTGTGAAGACACGTGTCACACTCACTGATGATATTGGCAGGCGGTGCGGTGGGTGGCTGTCATGTCATCTATCGTGAATAGACAGAAGTATGACAGCTCATAAGTTTAGACATTGGATTCTGTTTCAAAGACTGGATGATCGACAGTTTCGCCTCATGATCTAAAACTTCTAAATTCGACCTTCAGTGTATGAAAATCGAACACACACAGTAAGGAAATGTGAACTGCTGTACCGCCTAACACACAGTTGAGAGGACAAACTTCTTTAGTGTAAAGGTTAGAGAAGTAAAAAAACGATTCATTTAAGCCAATTCGACTTTACAAACACATGGACTGATCAACGGCATTTAGAGAAACTTTCAGTGTTTAAAACTTATTATTATCATCATTATTTTTACGAGTTGATCACGGATTGATATCAGTTAGAGAACCATTGAAAACCAGCCACAGGGACTCGAACCCAGGACCTTCCGGTTACAAGGCAAGCTAGCTCGTATACCATTCAGCCACTGGGACACACCCAACTCCTCAATGGCCAGCTACTCATGAATTCTAACTTCTACCAATTCGTGATTTAGCGTGACTGGCGTCAACAAATGTCATTGGTGGGACATCCGTCCTTACACTTGACTGGATTAAAACACAAACTTGATACATTCTGGGCACCAAGAAATGAGCTATACAAAATCTCAACTTGTCCGATAGCTTTCAGGATACTGACCGAAAACCAAAAAACAGAAGCAGGTAGTGTTGTCTTAAAGGACCACGACTCCCCTAGGTAGATATAAATATAAGTGTATCCACATATCTTGTCCGAATGTAAACACTACACGTTCATGTCCACCGCATGAAGTCAGTGAATAGGACATACACTCCTGGTAGACGCCATGAATACGTGGCCACATGATGACAGCATTATTATTATTATTATTGCTCCCTTGGATTCCTAGTGGAACATAGGGCTTCAACTACACGTCCCCATTTGTTTCTGTCTTCTGCTGTACTTTTCACCTGCATCCATGTTAGTCCATACTGTTTCAACTCTTCTTCACACGATCTCCTCCATGTCACCCTTGGACGTCCTACTCGCCACTTCCCTTTCGGTTTCCACTCGAGCGATAGCCTGACGCGCGATGTCACTCAGCGGCCACCTTATCGAGTGTCCAATCCATCTCCACTTTCTCCTGCATATTTGTTGGGCGATTGGTTCTTGTTTTGTTTCTTCCCATAGTTTCTTGTTGGTGATTCTTTCCGACCATCTGATCTTGAGTATATAGCGAAGACAGTTGTTGATGAAGGTCTGCAACAGGCTGTTGGAAATATTTTTTGTGACTCACCCAATTTCCGCTGATCCGTATAGAAGAACTGACTGACTTGACGTTTGTATTGAAAATCCGAATCATTTTGTTGTTGATGCAGGCTGAGTGACGAAGATTTCCAGATTGGTTTCAGGTTGATGAATGTGTTTCTCGCCTTCCCGATTCTCGATTTGACATCCTTGTCCGTTCCACCTGCCTGTAGTTGAGACAATGCTCCCTTTAGATAAGTGAATGAAGTCACTCACCTCTTTCAAATCAATCCAGTTGATGGTGATTGGCGCTGGATGTTGCTGATGACAGCATTACGAGATAAAAACTGAAGTCTATCCACCTTCTGTCTCGTATCAGGTAATGTTAATGGGGTCCGCGGAGGTGGCGGGGCGGTGCGGGGTGAGGGGAGTTGCTTAAAAACTAGGTGACATTTTTAATAAAATATTGAACGCTACAAATACACTCAAAAAGAAAAAAAAGAAAAAAAACACCCACTCACCTGATCACTAAACTTCCCAGAGTCATTCTCAACAATCTGATGAGTTCTATGCGTAAAATGATGCGATTTAGTTGGACTGAGACATGATGATGTTGTTTTTCTTGACAAATGATTTGAATCATTGATCATAACACCATTTAGATGATGATGATGAAGGCCTTCATGACCTTCATCACATGAATTTGACGGAAAGGAGAGATGTGATTTTAAATTTTCTATTTCTTCTTGTAATCTCTTGATATGTGCATCTTTCTTCAATAAATTCTCCTACGCATATTAAAACAAAGTACACAATGACCAAATAACACAAAGAGGCATCGAAAATTGAAGGAGACTAAAAGACACTAAAAAAAAAATTTCTCCGTCTGTCTGTCTGTCTGGATTCAACATAGAACTTAGCACCGAAGTGCAGCAGTTCGAGTTGCCACCTTCCAAATAGCACACACAAAGGTAGACAAGAAAATGAGAGTGAAGAGAATCAATAGAGTTTTGACAAGTATAAGAGTGAAACAGAATGATTATTGGTAGAAAGGAATATGGAACATTATAGAGACTGAATACATCTGCGTAAGCCATTGACAACGATTTTCAGCAATGTCACCTATTGTCTCCAGTCATTGATTTTTAGAGTCCCGAGGGCGGGCCCCAACCCGGAAGTCTGCATCTCCCTCCCTACCTGACTCAGTTTAACCGTCAAGGATTTCATGGATTGATTGATGCCATGTGTTTGTTTGGCCACCACTTACTCTTTTCCAACCCACGACACCTATATCAGCTAGTAATGCCCGTCCGTCGGGGGAGGCGATGGTTAGGCATGCACAGCACGTCACCTAGCCATCTCAATCTATGTAACTTTATAGCCTCGTTGATTGATTTTCCCTCTTTGACCAACACTCTACCTACGCCTAACGTCAACATTACTTACCTCATTATGCCACCTCGTAAGGTGAGAAAGAGATCGTAGACATCTATGATCAAAAACAGTCAACCTTTTCATGTCTTCAACTCGTATTGGCCATGTTTCAGAGCCAGCCATAGAGAAGGATGGAGCGAACTGCTGAGCAGTACACACGTCCGTTGGTTGATAGTCGGATGTCACCCCTACGGCAGAGATGGTGTAAGTTAGCGAAAGCAGCTCGAGCTCTTTGCATCTGTGCTGAGATTTCGTCGCCCATCAGTCCGTTGGTGCTGATACAACTTCCCAAATAGGTGAAGTTGGTCAACATATCGCATATCGAGTGAAACACATACTGTTTCAAGCTATACACACTACTCATTGGTTGGCATGAGTAGTTGGATGCCTCACACACACACACACATACATGCATGTATACAGACATATATACATACGTCAACCAGTATTGTTTGTTAGAACGCTAGAGATTGAAGTGATACAAACACCTGGTGACTATTTCGCAAATTTGGAATCGACCTCACCATCACTAGTGTGTAGGCACAGTTTGACTAACTCAGACCAAGCTTTCAATTGTTTCAGTAGCGTTGGTGTTACTAGCTTCACATCGCCTCCTTAACGTTGTTTCTCTTTTTTTCCCGCCTAGTATACTAGATAAGAATACGTAGTTTATCTGAAACGTGTGATGTATTTGCGCAACACATTTCGGACATTCTGATCACACACACACACGTACTTGTCATACAGTTTTTAAATAAAGGTCAGATTGTGTACAGGTCAAGGTTACGAATAATGGGTAGGGAGATGACGCAAAGGTGTGGATAAGAAAGAAAGAGAAAAACAAAACAAGAGAGTGAAAATATTATGAAGTAAGTTGATCCTTGGTTCTAAATTGGATTACCAAGGCAGGTTTAAAGTAATAACAAATAACTTTTGGACACCTAAGACATATATAAGTTTAAGCCTTTTTATGGCCAAAGCTTCAACGAATTGAAGTATGTGACCCAACCTTGTTTTATATATGGGCTTAAAGGCATTGTTGAAATCAACCGTATGACCCGTCACTATAATGTGCTTCGCGACAGATGATGTTGGACACCTATTCCCGGGACCAGTTGTGTCTAGTGATTTTATTTCTTGTTGCAGCCAATTTGGAATGTGTTCTGTAGACCTAACCTGCAGACACCAATGAGTCCTCCCTATATACATGTGTCCACACATACATCTAAGTTGATAAACACAATGAGATGTGACACTATCGTTCAGATAATGTGAGGGTTTTATAGGACAGCATAGTTCGTTCTCCTTTCCTCTATGAAGATAAGTTTAGCTGCATAATAAGTTCTATTAATTGCGGCCTTGAGTCTTTGTCTAGTGACCAGACTTTGTTGATCCCCCTGAACGGCAAGGATACATGTTAACATATTTTTTGGGAGCTGACTGACTGACTGACGTTTTTACTGACATGCAACTTCTCTAAATATTTTCGATACTATAACCACTACAAAAGGATACTCAAAATATTGTAAAAAAATTCATATGATTTCAAATCCTAAATAGAACACCGAGAAATTGATAAAGAAGACATTATGGTAAGCTATGATATTAACTCATTATATGCTAGTATCCCTATTACCGAAAGTCTTAATATCATTTCCAGTCTACTAGAATCAGATACAACGCTATCACAAAGATGTCTACTGGACACCAGTGAAATAATTAAGAGCTTGAAATTCTGTCTAGAAAGTAATTATTTTAACATTTAAAGGGAATTTATATATAGACAGAAAAATGATGTTGCTATGGGTTCACCAGTCTCCCCAACAGTTGCTGATCTTGTCATGAACAGATTCGAAGATAACATCTTTTCAAGTATACTCACTCCTAAAATATGGTTAAGATATGTAGATATGATACTTTTGTAGTGCTAAAACGAGATCTACACAATTCATTCCTGGAGAAACTGAATAATCTATCTCCCAGCATCCAGTTTACTTCGGAAGCAGAATCAGACGTCGATGAACTACCACTTCTAGACTGCCCAGTTAAAAGGAGAGAAAACGGACATTTCAGGATATCTGTATTCAGGAAGAAAACCCACTCCAATAAATATTAAGACTTTGGATCATGACATTCCATCAGCGCAAAGGTATCAGTTGTTTCAAGTCTTTTTAGACGAGCACACTCTCTGACAACGGACAAGAAAGAAAAAGAAGAAGAAATATCAAACATTACTGAGACTCTCAAGCAAAACAACTACCCAAAGCACTTCATCAACAAAATCAACATGGACATTAAGCATGGTCAAAAACGTATTCCGAAAACATGGACGTCCATATAGAGCGGAGACGTCAGACGATAACAGAAGAGTACTCGATAAGCTCGACATCAGAGTTTTCTTCAAAACATCAGACACACTGCGAAACAACCTTGTCCATATAGAAGACCAAATCCCTAAAGACTCTCTCTCTCTAATTGTGTCTATAAAATAAAATGCTTGGAATGTGATGCGATGCGATATTCATCGGACAAAGCTAACCAGAGGGAAATGAAAATCAGAAAAAATGAACACCGTAGAACATCTGTTCGACCACCGAGAAATCCAGTTGAAATAGAAATACTTGAAAAATCATCAGCCGTAGCTCGCCTACACACTAAAGAATCAGGCCACAAATTTGATTTTGACAATATTGAAATCATCATCATCCAGAAAAAGCATTTCAGAAATCACAAAGAACTTCTAATATCATCAGAAACACTTCATATCAAATGGAATCCAAATTGTCTGATGAAGACGAATGATGGACAAAAAAACAGAATTTGACCTGGTTACAGCATACACACACCCTCCCCCATAAAGTGACAAAATCAACACGCATGTGATAAACAATTTCATTATGTAAATACACACGCTGTTTTTATAAGTTTTTTTTAATAATTTTACACACTTATCAAATCCAAGTCTACATATGATGGTCAATTTGACAACGAAAAATGACCCCATACTGAGGAACGATGATTAGGCTGTTATATATATGTCTCTCTGTCTGGATTCAACATAGAACTTGGCACCGAAGTGCAGCAGTTCGAGTTGCCACGTTCCAAATAGCACACACAAAGGTAGACAACAAGATGAGATTGAAGAGAATCAATAGAGTTTTGACAAGTATAAGAGTGAGTGAAACAGAATGAGTAATGGTAGAAAGGAGTATGAAGGTTAAAGAGACTGAATACATCTGCGCCATTGACAACGATTTTGAGCCATGTCACCTATTGTCTCCAGCCATTGATTCTTAGAGTCCCGAGGGCCCCAACCCGGAAGTCTGCATCTCCCTACCTGACCCAGTTTAACTGTCAGGGATTTCATGGATTGATGCCATGTTTTTGTTTGGCCACCACTTACTCTTTTCCAACCTGCACCTATATCAGCTAGTAATGCCCGTCCGTCGGGGAGACGATGGTTAGGCATGCGCAGCACGTGGCCTAGCCATCTGAATCTATGTAACTTTATAGCCTCGTCGATTGATTTTCCCTCTTTGACCAACACTCTACCTACGCCTAACGTCAACATTACTTACCTTATTATATCACCTAACGCGAGAAAGAGATCGTAAACATCTGTGGTCAAAAACAGACAATCTCTTCATGTCTTCCGCTCTCAATGGCCACGTCTCACCGCCATAGAGAAGGACGGAGCGAACTGCTGAGCAGTATACACGTCCCTTGGTTGACAGTCGAATGTCATGCCTACGCCAGAGACTGTGTGAGTTAGCGAAAGCAGCCCTAGCTTTCTGGATCCGTGCTGTGATTTCGTCACCAATCAATCCGTTGGTGCTGATACAACTTCCTAAATAGGTGAAGTGGTCAACATGTTCTATCACTTCTATCACTCCCTATCACTAAGCTAGGAGTTGACGTAGTCCAGTCCTGTAGCAGCATCTTACATTTTACAGGCGCGAATCGCATGCCAAACATACGAAGATTGCTTCTGAAGGTGTTCAGAAGACTCTGCATTTTGTCAGCGTCCTCCCCTAACAGGACTATGTCGTCTGCGTATTCTAAGTCTATAAAACTATTCACTGGTAACAAGTCGATTCCTAAGTCGTTACGTTCGGTTAAGGATACTTCCATTAGCATATCTATGATGAAGTTAAACAGAAAAGGGGAAAGTGGACATCCCTGACGGACACCACTGGTTGTTATCAATTCAGATGACAATTCCCTATAAGCCCTTACACAGCTACGTGAGTTTGAGTAGAGTGCCTTGATTAGTGCAATGTACTTTCTGTTATATATATGCTGAGTGGATTTTGTAAATTCTGGTTTAATAATACTACTCCGATCTAGCTAGTAGCAGCATTAAATAGCGAAACATAAGTAAAACCGACAATATCGTTTTGTTTCTTATTCATTTGGAAAATATTAAAAAAAACCTTGAAACTTCAAACATAATAATAAACTCACCTGTAATTGTTGACCTATTTCATTTTCATTATCTTTTAAAGCCTTATATTTTGTACGTAACTGTGATAATTAATTAATTAGTTAATTAATGCATTTATTAATTAGGACAAACCTTTTTAAACTCTACACACAATCTTTCATATTTACTTTTAAGAAGCTGCTGTTGATCATCATTCATGCTTATTTTATTAAAATACAAATAGTGCACGTGGATATTATTCCCATGTAATGTACATACACTTGTGGAGATATACACTGATGATGAGAAAATACAAGCTGCTTCAACTTTGAATACTGCTAATACTACTCCTTCTATTAACTGTAGTTATTTATGAAATATAATTGATTATTCGTTAAGAAATAATTGAAGTAATGTTTTCTCATGATAAAACTATTAACACATTTGACATCTGCCTGTAAAAGTAAAAAAAGAAAAGAAAAGTAACTATAGGAAAATAAATAAGTGGATTGTTTATCTAATCTACATCATGAATTAGCACCAGGCCCAATAAGAAAGAGCCTTTGGATAGAACCACGATGTTCTCGACGATAGTCAGGAGTAATCTGCTGTCTAAAATCAATAATGGATCCTATGGAGGAAGGAGCTGTCCAGTTTATACTGAGTGCATCAAAGCTACCCCCAGAATGAGATAGCTAATAAATCTCCTATACTGTTCGATGCGCTCTAGCACGAAGTGATTACAATGACAATGAAGAGCTTGATACAACAATCTAATCAGCATTTAGCGCCTAAAGATGATCTCTTTTACCTACCTGGGAAGCATCGTTTCAACTACAGGCCAGCGGAACTGACGAGGATATCAAAGCAAGAATCGGAAAAGCAAAACAAGCTTTCACTACTCTCAAGTCTGTGTGGAGGTCAACAACACTCAGCATCAAAATGGAAATAAGATCCGGATTTTCAACGCCAATGTGAAGTCAGTGCTACTTGCCATACGGATCAGAGACTTGCACTGCGCGTCATAAAGAGCATCTCAAACAAACTACAGACCTTCATTAACACTTGTCTTCGCTCAATACTCAAGATCAGATGGCCAGAAAAGATCAGCAACAGGGAGGGATCTCTGGGAGCGAACCAACACAGCAGGAACCGATTGTGAAACAAATAAACAGGAAGAAATGGAGATGGATTGGCCATACTCTGAGGAAACAAACCATCAAGTGACATCACTAGACAAGCCATTGCTCGAGTGGATCGCGAAAAGGAGGCGGCGAGTTGGTCGTCAGTGCGAGGGTGACTTGGAGGAGGTCATGTGAAGAGGAGATGAAAAAGTGTGGGCAGACATGGAGCCAGGTGAAGACTCTAGCACAGAACCGAACGCAATGGAGACGCATGGCTGAAGCCCTATGTTCCTATAGGAACTAAAGGATACAATAGTAATAATGATAATACGATGGTAGGATTCAGCTTATCGACATTTTTGTATTCCTTTGCGTTTCAACTGGTAAATATGGCTTCAAGCTGTAGCTCATTGGTTTGTGTGCTCAACTTCCAATCACTGGGTCACACCTTTGAACGTCGTTCTATCTAACGAGGTCTAGGCAGTGAGGGACTAGCACCCACACAATATGTATTGCTCACTGACAATTTCATGCAAATGCAAGTGGTTGTGTAATGTCTTCGAAGCATTCGTTTCCAATGCAGGACTAACTGCAAAACAAAAGGTGCCTATCTTCTAAATGATCCTGCAGTATAGGAAATATACTCAATTCCCTGAACTTGAGTGTTAGCTAGTATCTGACTGCATTTGTCAAATAAGACAACTAAAGTGTTAAGAAACCTGAAAAGCTTGAATGCATTATCAGCTCTTATTTTTAACATTAAAAAATTCTATAGTAACTTGTGGGATACTTATCAGAAGCATTTCTTGTATAAGACTACCGAATAAGTGTAACTGGTGAATATGCCTTTCATCAGTTGAGTCGAAATCACTTGGTTCTTACAAGTTACTCATGACAACATTACGGTCTGTTGGCTGCTTGTTGTACATTGATGTATTGTATTGTAGTCCCTAAATTCAAGGTGATGTAGGGTGGACTTATGAATGAGAGGATGCAAGTTTCATGATTTAAGTAATCCTCAGTACATACGAGTCTGTGTTTGTAATACAAAGAAGAAATATTAGAAAGGGTTTACAGTCGTAAATAAAAAAAATGTGAGGTTTTTATGCAAATTTTGTGATGAATTTAGGGGCAAATATTTGGGTGAAAAAGTGACAATTTCCCCAACATGTTTTTTTTTTATTTGATTTACAGCTTGATTCCACACCGTATTTTCAGTACAAGTATGGAATTTTCAGCATGGATATCGGTTGCCCAAATTCAGGCATACCATAGATATCGGGTGTGCGCCGGCAGGGGATCGAACCCCGGACCATGTGCATGGTCGGCGAGAGTCCTAACCACTGTGCCACCGACGCATTAAGATGCCATAAAACTTTTTTCAGTGTGAGGATCATGCTGAACAAAGAATTACCTAACCTCCCTTATGAGGAAATATTGCATTAACCCCAAATGCAGTAATTTTGTAACGCTTCAGTAAGGCCATCTCAGTAAGAATCAGGTATCAGTTTACAAGTTCTGAGTGGGTTAAGATTCAGAAGATAAAGGGTAGTAGGCTCTTGTTGCCTGTCCCAGCTGGCATTTTCTTCGGATGCATTGCTGAAGGTGGGACAATCATCTGAAGTTTGCCGAAACATTCTGTAGTGCGCCCGAAGTCAATGCTAGCTGGTGTGTTAATCACAGCACAATTACGCAATCCTCCTCCTAAGTCTTAGCTATATTTCAACACATGACGTTATCTAACCCCGAAAAACTTTCTAAAACCACATGAGGATGCAAAATCTGAAATCAAAACACACGTAATCTATTATTTGCGGGCTGATCAGTTCTGTCGAAGTTGTTCTGAGTGTTTAACACAGAAGGTTAATAGAAAACACAATATACAGTTGTTTTTACCCTCAGAGCTGTAACTAACCCAAAGAACAACCACGCCATATCCTACACGTAACATTCACTCCAAAATTTGCGCTATTCAATGTGTCACTTTCCCTATCATAATTTGACGGCTGGACTTATCCGGCATGTTGGTTGAAATTTCGCTCAGTAAATTTTTTTTGTCAATGTGTTATATGTTTTCTGAATTGATAGGAATTCTCATTTCCTGGCTAGGTATGTTGGTGTCCGCATCATGTAATCTGACTGCGACACACTCTAAGCATATTGGTTGTAATGATTGGTGTTTCATGCGGAATCAGTCAAAACATCGCTATAATGAAGAAGATGGAGTAGGTGGAGGGTAATGTCATCTACACAAATAGTTTACTTCTTGTAGAAGCTGCAGCTTTCGACATAGTGCCATTCAATGAAGACCACGTCAAAATGTAGCTATTTTTGTGTGCAGAACAGTACTATTTGACAAAAGAATGCTATTAGTACATGGGAATCACCTATAAATGCTAAGAGAACCCTCTGTGGGAACAGAAGTTATCATGTAGCCGTGTCTTTCAATGTATGTGTATGGACAGGAATTATGGTAAGTTGAAAGGTTATCTCTAAGTGAATTTAATACATATTTACATTGATTTGCGCAGTATAATATGGTTTATGTATTAATATTGTGCCATTGTTTGCTTAGCTGACCGCTAGGCTAAGAAATGTAGGTAGTTCTCGTGATTATTGCAAGTGCAGTGCATTTGAGAAGGCAATATCTGATATAAGAATAAAACTTGGGCACTGTGGTAGAGTGTAATTCCATTATGGGTAAATTTTTATTTTGATAGAGTCTCACAGTGTTATACAGTAATATTTACTGATGACGTTTCGAGCACAAACTATTGCTCATAATCATATCAAGTTACTCACAAAACTTCTTTCCTTCATTTATATACATGTGTGGAATCGACTAGATATTGGATTAAAATTCAATATGAGATAATGTACATTCAGAAATAATAGTACGAGTGTTACTAATCCATTGCAATTAGATGGGAAATACGACGAGTGTTTTTATAATTATAATTAAACACATTCTAACAATCAACTTATTATAATTATAAAAACACTCGTCGTATTTCCTATCTAATTGCAATGGATTAATAACACTCGTACTATTATTTCTGAATGTACATTATCTCATACTGAATTTTAATCCAATATCTAGTCGATTCCACACATGTATATAAATGAAGGAAAGAAGTTTTGTGAGTAACTTGATATGATTATGAGCAATAGTTTGTGCTCGAAACGTCATCAGTAAATATTACTGTATAACACTGTGAGACTCTATCAAAATAAAAATTTACCCATAATGGAAGGCAATAGCTGGTTTAATTTTCCTCAGTGTTACGCTTAGTGCAATTATTCAGTGTATAGTAATAATATACACATAGTTTGTGTTGATTACGAGAATCGAATCTAATTAGCTCTATTATTAATTTACCGTCTGACAATAAACTTAATACTGCAATGTTTTTGATCACCAATAGTGGAGATGAATTTCTTCTGAAATTTCCATTTACCTGAAACAGTACGGATGCAGTGTCACGAGTAAATGTCTAGGTTGGATTATATGTCATTGTTATCCTCATCAACACAACAGCTCTGCGTATCTTACAATAACGTAAGTGTTTCCCTATGTAACACTCTATGCTGTTAACACTGAGCATAGTTGCTTAGAGTTGAGGCATGTTCAGCTTATATTTGATGACTACAGGTTCCTAAATATGAGAATGTAATTTCTGTAGGATTCAGAAGGCTATGCTCTTTAGACATTACTGAGATTGTGGATCAATTTCTAAGCTACATATATGCAATACCTTATTTAACGTAGACGTATTTAGTGTGGAATTGACGAGAGAATGACGTCTCAACACTATGGGTGTTTCAGAGTTTACCTTGAAATTTGCGTGTAATCCTCTAATGCTGGACAACTTATGAGGTCTATTTATGCATACGGCGTCAATATAAAGATCAGCTGGGGTCTACAAATACTTTTAATTGTATGAGAACTTTACTTAGTATTAATAGAAACAGTATATTATTATCATGTACTAATATATAAAATTATCTTTCATAACTTCATGTTGTGCTTCATATTTTAGGTATTTGGAGGTTGTGGAATGTGAAATCAGTGGAAATGTCAATCTGTCAAACTAA